AAAATATTGTATTGTATCACAATTACCATATTTTTAAGTTAAATTTTAAAAGAAAATTCTCTCTGTGTATAAGATTATAAATAAATTGAATTAATTATTATAAAGAATCTATAATATGACAATGATGTCCAATAATTATGTGGTAAATATTTACCTTTACACAGTCAGTGCCAAATGACTTTTGATCGACCTTGAGATTAATCTTAATTTTAAAGAGAACGAGGTTATTGGTCTTTCTCGTCGCTCATTGCTTATTGAAAAATTATTAACAAATAAAGGTGACAATAAAAATGTATTTAATTCTATAATTCAAATTTTACCTAATATAGATATCACATTATTCACATATTTGTATATTTAAATAAATGTGTGGGTGGAGGAGAGACGGACCATTAAATTTTAGACCTCGTTTCACATTGTAGACAAGAGGTAGTGTGGAGTGGACTTCGTTTAGAGTGGAGAGCTAAAAACATGTGAAGCCGTACAATTATCGATCTTGTTTCGTACTGAAGGCAAGGGGCGAACAATATGAGATGGATTTCGCTTCGCGTTGGAAAGTACATTTTAATATTTTGGGCTGCATTCGAAAGATATGACTCAAATCCAATTTTAAAATTGCGTTTTTATGTTAGATTATATCTTTCAAATGAGTGGAACCTTCCACTCATACGTTTGCTTTGCAATGCAAAATGAAGTCCACTCCACACCACTTCCTGCATACAGTGAAACTTTAGACGAGGTCTAAAATTGTACGGTTTCACAGCTTTCAATTTTTTATGCGAAGTGAGTGACTGCATTCCACATCACTCCTTGTTTATAGAATGCAAAACAAGGTCTATAATTAGATGGTTTCACGTTTAAATATGCGAATAATATGATATTTAATAAAATTTTAATTAGAGAAATTAGAAGAATTAAACATATCTATTATTAACTTTTATTTGCTTTAATAACTTCTTAATAAACAACAAGCAACGGGAGAGGTCAACGTTTTTCTTGAGAATTAAAGTCAATATCAAGATCAGTCATAAGTTATTTGGAGCTAACTTTGTAAAGGTAAACATTTATCAATAATATTAATACTTAACTGTTTAAAAGAATTTTAAAAAAGATTAAATTTTTTAATGTTAAAGTACTATAATATTTTTTTGTACAATAATTTTTTTTTTTTAATTATGATTCTATAGATTATCATTATTAAATTTATGTTACTACGATTATTTCAATTAAACTCGATTTAAATTCCATACCTATGTAAGGAAACGCAACGAACATGCCTTTGCGAAAAAACGTAAGCTCGAAATCGTACTCGGCTGATGCCAAGATGAATCCGCCAGTAGTAGTATCAAAAACGGCGGTCCACGCAATTGGCAACACCGCCAGTAGCAGCAGCACATTAAATAATCCATAACCTAAGATAAGGAAATAAAATAAAATAATAAAAATTGTTATGTATTTGTAATGACATTAAGAGATCTTACCGGTTGTGGATATGGCTGTGTCGAAATCGGCGGGTTCGTTAACGCTATCTGAAAAATGAAAAGCCATCGAGTAACTTTACGAAACGATCACGAGGATTCTACATTGTGAGTTATATAACAAATGATGCAATTAAAACGTATGAAAAAAGAGATATTTACGTGCAGAAAGAGCCATCTGATTATAGACAATACAAGGAAATAAGAAAGAAAAGAATACTATTCAACAGTTTCTTTGAAAATTACATGTTTGCTATATAGAATTGTCAGCGAGAACGTGATTTATCTAATAAGATAAAAAATAAATATTAAACAAACTCTGTACTTATAATGTATGAAACTCATTCAAAATTCATGCATAATACATTATACGTACAATTTATGGTAACTATATTTGCATATCGTTTCTACGACGTGTTAATCACAAACGAACATAAATCTGTACACGTACAGAAATTTACATTTATACATAGAAATAGTTCTGTTAGGAGACTAATAAGTAAAATTATATTTTCTCATAATACTTTCTCACTGTTCGGTAATCTGGATAGAAACTCGTAGGACGATTCTCATATGTTCCTGTATGTGCATCACTTCGTTAACTCACTATACGGAAAATTACTTTGACTTCGAAACATATTGGATTAACACTACCGGATATTATGCAAGAAGGGCATCTCACCGGTCGTTGTGATCTCGATCTTGTCAGCATTTCGGTCACTCGCGATCATATCCGACGCGACAAGCTGAAGAGTCGATTGCACTCGACGTGATGGAGTTAGTTTTGCTTCTCTCACGACAAAAATAGAAGTCCTAGTCGATTCAGGTGGCGATCTCGTTCTTCGACAAATCTTCGTTGCTCAATTGGAACGGAACTGCGTCAAGTATCCGGCCGTTTGTTCACTTTGAATATAAAAACAGACGTACTTTGCGAGGATGCGTTCATTCAGAGATTCATTTTTTTTATTGATGCAATTTGCGGTGCCGGAATACGAGTTCATGCATGAGGTCGGAGTATAAAATGCGATCACGTTTTCTGGCGAGCTTCTCGCTCGCGTAACCCGCCAATAAAAACGGGTTAAACGATCCAATTGTTACGGGTATGCCTCACAATCAGCTGTTTCTTATTAATGAATCACGCGTTGAGAATCTATCAATTTGTAATTTAGATTAAATATTATTTTTTACATTTAATTTTTTTATATTAAAATCTTTATTTTAAAATATTTATAAATATAGACATTTGAATAATCTAAATTTTTTTATTTATACTTATTTTTATATTTTTATTTAGAAAAAATTAGTTAAAATATATGCATGAAAAGTATGATAAAACATTTATTTATTTTAAAATTATATTTGAAAGAATTATTTTATTTAATTAATAGTATTAATTATCATTATTTACACAACTTAAATTGTTTTATTATTTATTTCATAATACTTGCTAACTCAAAATCGCCACAACAAGGATAAATCGATTAACGGCGTTTTATTAAACTATTTTTCGCAAATGAATATTACAGATATTAGGGAAAATCGGGGATAAAAGTAATATTTTGACTTTGAAGTGTTATAACAGTTAAAATATAATACTTACATTTAAAAAATATATCTTTCATACACATACATACACACACACACACACACACACACACACACACATAGAATTATATATATACTGAAATTCACATCTCCGCTGTGAAGCGAATAGAAAATCGTGGCACCAATTGATCAGCGCCATTTTAACTTAGTTAATATAAGAATCAGAAACTTTCAGGTGCTCATGCGCACTTACGTTTAATGTTCTTTAATGAGACGCATATGTCAGCAAGATCATCGTGTATGTGTGTGAGATTATATTTGAAAGATTATAAAATCGCGTGACTGTAAAATGTACAAAGCATCAACATGAAGTGCTGTGTCTGGGTGTGGGTAAAAAAGTAAAAAGGGCACTTCATTTTATAGGTGAGAATTTTTGTATTAAATGTATCAATTTTTGTGTTAACGATGTAGGATATGAAAAATGTTATTAATGTTATTTTATTGAATGTACTAATAAAATTGAGTGACATTATTTTTGTTTACATACCATTCACGTCTATATAGATTTCCATACATCGATAGTACATCGATTGATACATCAACCGCAGCGCGCGCGCGATTCTGATTCGCTCAGATATCGTTCCTAAAACTAAAATGACGGCTGATCAATTGTGGCCACGAATTTTCCTCGATGCCCAGTGTATAGTTTAGTGGTATCTTTAAATATAAAATTTATTTAACTATAAAATTTTCTTAGGTTTAATTATTTTTTGTAACTAGAAAAGAAGTTATGTTTGTTTAAAGATTACTATAAGGAATTTTGTTACAACCGTCTCAACTTCCAAGGACGATAGTAACGATTATAATAGAGGAGGATAATTGTACCACATTTGCCAGAGATACATAACACAACTACATAAATCATACTCTTTTTTGCGGCTGCAATAAATAACTGGTTCTTTATAACTTCTTTAAATGTCTGTTTGTATAAAGATACTTCTTTTAGTTCTTCTCTTATCTGTCTTGTCTTTTCTTATAAATGGGATTCTATTATATTGAAGAAATTACAAATAACATTGTACAAAATAATATTAAAATCAAATCAAATAAGTTTAGGGATAATTGTAATGTTACAACTTCCAGACATTGATGTTACTATTGTTCCCTAATGATATTTTATGATTTATAGTAAATTTTTCAAATAAAAATCTAGATAAAAATCAATTCAAATGTACAAATCATCAACGCAAATAATCATTAAAACGTATTATGATAATACATTATATCTTCATTATAAAGAAAAAAAAATATTTTTGATTTTGTGTACGCAATAAAACTTACTTGATGCATGAAAAAAGTAATTTCTGCTCTTGCACTGGTGCACAACGAAGTCGCGTTCCGTGAGCAGTATGTAACGATTCAATATGATTTGTCTATAGAATTTTATTATATAGCCGCATAGTACACATATCTATTATAATTTAAGAAATATTAACGTTGATGTTACTATTGTCCTGTGCTTTTTTTGTCCCCGGTCTCCCTCCCCTACATATTAATTGAAGAACGAACTATTTCTTATTTGACATTTTTACCAATTCAAATTATAATGTTAACTCGCATTACAAGATCAAGTGTTCACCACCTGCTTTTAAGCTAGACAAGGCTAAAAAAGCGCCCTGCATACGCTTACAGTGTCGAACTCTCCCACTTGCATCTTTTATTATATATGCGCCTTAAACCATAAAATGACGTAAAAGATTAAAGGCGCTTTCAGACAATATGGCCACGTTCGCCAACATTGGCAAATATTATATACACATATGACATAAGAGAAGCCCGGGCAGCGCGGACGTGTTAAAGCTGAGAAGAAAAAATGATTAAAATTGAGATCAGAAATTATTTTTATTCTTATAAGGACTTTAATCTCATAAAGGACTTAATTTTGAAATAAAATAAAAAAATTAAAAACCTTGAACATTAATATGTAGTTTTAGTTAAAACATAAAAAAAGAGAAACCATCCGCTTTGCCCGACCCCCCCTGGATAAAGCAAATGGATCACTCGAGCAATGCAAATGAAATTTAAAAGATTAGAATCAGTCTTGGCAATCGTCATAAAAGTAGCTACTAAATCCTCTACATGTAGTACAGTCTTCATGGGCCCATTTGATGCAATGACTGGATCAGTCCTAAACAAATCATCGCACTGCATTGTGGCAAAAAATAATAAAAATGAGATATAAACGAACACGTGCCTTTCGTACATTCAAAAAATCGTCTGTCTCTTCGTATTTCTAGTATTTTCATTGTAATCATATATCAAGTAAAGAGGATGCATCATCCTCTGAGGATGCTTTGCTTAGGTACGTAGCTTTGTAATTAAGCTATGTACCTAACGAAAAATCGTAAGAAAACATTTAATTTTCTATACACGAACGCAATCATATGTCGTTTCGTACTTTCATAGCGTCGCTGGTCTCTCATTCCTTCAAGAGACTCATAGCGCAATCTCAGATAGATAAGCGAAAATAAAAGGTATTTACTTTACCCAAGGCGTCCATTTTGCCTGCACTTCTCCTACATAATTGTCTATATTGAATGATGTAGGCCAATATTTAGTGAATGTGCATAAAATCGGCGTATGCATTGGCCAATCATAGAACATTATCTGGAAGTGTGAGGTATGCTTATACGATTGAATTTTTTAATTATTTATCTTTCTTGTTTGTTGGATTGACAAAAAGATATTGTAAAATATAAATTGATTTGGTTTCTTCCCTCTCTCAAATATAAAATTTCCCTTCTCCCCTATAAGTTAATCTGAACGGAAAAGACAAGAATAATCCGGAAGTAATAATCAATTATTCTAGGATCAGTGATCTCTAGATATGATTAGAAAAGATTGGAAACATCTGTTATAACTATTATTGAACATACGATTCTATTTTCGTGAAGAAAAATGAGTATTTCACGATAAGATATAAGTTTTCATTTCGTAGAAAATGCAATAGAAAAAGCAATTAATTGAAAAAGTTTCATTAATATATCTACAGTCATATATTATGATAAAGCAAAAATATTATTATAAAATGCACCCTTATTCTTTGAAGTTTTATCGTTCATTATTCACTTTCGACACAATCCTTTGAGCTTGCATTTAATTTTATTACAAAGAAAAGGAAGAAAGAAACATTTTGCTGTAATATAATTTAATCGCGAGTTTTTAGATGAATTTTTTGGCACTTTTAATTACTTTTGTTAAATTGAATATTATGAAACAGATCCACATTAAAATGATGAACGGAAGTCACTTTTGGACACATAAATAACTATTTAAAAATAGAAAATACTGATAACAGAACTAATGGTCAGTGGAATTCGCGAGGAAAATGTACCGACAAGTAATGGTTGGATATTACAACGCAACTCATTTTCGATTTCTCGTGAAAAGTAGAAGACAGTAGTAGATATATTTCTTATCGCAGTTAACATATCATATGTTACACAGTCACTGTGCAAATACACTCGTTTACCATGTGAATTAATTCACGAGCATATTGCTGTTGATATTTGCTTTAACCATTAAGATATGATGATGCGAAGAAAACAGTCTTGCTTCAAAATAATTTTTTCTTGATCGTTATTTGCATTCATTCGTGCAAGGAATTTGCATTTGTCGATTAAGTAACGAGATAACTTTATAGACTTTATCGTACACTAGTTTAAATTCGTTTAATTCATAAATGAAATGAAATTTTTTAAATGTTTATCCTTGCATTCCTTGATTTAAATTTTTTAATGTATAATATGTAAAAAATATAATTAAAATAATAATAATAATAATAGTAATGAGCATTGGAAAAGATATTGATTTAATATATCCATTATATTATGTAATTAATTATAAACTTTTGTACCTGTATTAATACATCAGTTTTCTTTTTAAGTCCGTTACAATTCAGCACATAAAATGCTCTTTGAAGCAATCATAATCCTTATCGTTTGATGAGATTTACTAGGAGAACAATTAAATTATTAATACAATAAAAGAGTAGTTCTGTTTTTTTTCTCCGCGATTATTTTACCACAAAAGCAAGGCTCATCATTTCCGGTTCCGTGCTATGTAGATTTACGGCGGCAGAAACGGAAATGGATGTTTGATCCGGCGGTGTTGCACTAATCTTCAGTCACCGACTAGTTCTCTCTAGTGGTATTCGACCCAGTTGACAGAAATACAAGAGTGTCACAGCAGGTTCAAATTGGATTCAACATAGTCTTCTCCCTGGTTCCTGACCGATAATTTTCGTTTAATGGCGAGAGAAATACACATACAAATTTCCGGCATGTGAGAGAAACTTTTAGAAAAGATAATCCCAACATTTTTTCATTTTCATTGGATTTTAAATAGATCTTAAATAAATTCTAATTTGTTAGATTCTCTCTTGCATTAAAACACAAAATTAAATTATTTAGTACGAAAAAAATTAGTTAATGATCACTTTATCTTTATTAAATCAAATTATGTAACTTTTTTAGCTCTCACTTAACGCATTTCATGCTTTATTTCCACTTTATTATATACATTATATTAATAAATATATGATCCGAGAGAAATACTTGATATTCTTATCTTGTATCTCTGAATAAATATAAATCTCGAATACATTTTAGTATATCTCTTAAATCGTTTTTACACTTTAAGCTTTTAATGGAATTGGAATAAAAAAAGGGAATTTTCAGATAATTGATTGTTTAGCACAGATATGGTTATAACTTTAAATGCTTCCAATTTAGATAACATCGTTTTTTCACAAAAATATGTTCGTGATATTCGACAAATGCTCAGTGAAAATAGAGACAAAAATGATTTCAATAAAAAATACCGCACGTTCAGGTCTAATAAAATACTGTAGTCTTTCGATGACACAGTTAATTCATTGCAAAAACTGCATCACTGGGCTTTACGCATATCGCCCGTGTTTACTCTCCGTTACATTTATTTCACTATCATCGCATATGCAGTGCACGAGGATGAGAAATCAGGTACTTGCATCGCATGTGCACATTAATAACAATATCGTTTGATAGCGTGGCGAGCGATAGTAATTTTTGTTCGTTATCTCGAAAGGATATTATACTTTTTATTTTTAAATCTTATTTAACATAATGGGAAAGAAAGCTGTTATCATAGATAACATAATTTTGTCTAATTTAATTTAGAAATGAAGAAATATTAAATGCATATTTTCGGAACATCTATATTGTGTATAGGATATTAAAATATTTATTCGATAGTGCAAAAGCGCAGTAAAAAGATATAACAATATTTTACAATCTTATAATAATATTCTCGGGAAATAGTAATTGTTACTGATATCGACAACTCACGAAAACAGTACAAAATGTACTATTATTATTGGCCACTGTGGTTTCATTTACGATGTAATTGTTTGGAGCATTTGGACCATCAATTTTCAATTTGGAAATCCGATAAAGGATTTTTTCCCTAATAAACTGTACCACTATTAAAAATGTTAAAGTAATTAAAATCTAGATGAGCTGTAATTGATGTGAAAAAACACTAGTATATATGTGTGTGTGTGTGTGTGTGTGTGTGTATCATATATAAATGACTTAATTAATATCTCTGGATCCAATTACATTGCAGTTTTATTTTTCATGTTGTTTCTTTATATTTAATTCTTTTTCTTATCAGTATCTCTAGATATTAATAGAAAATTATTACAGATATAAATAATATCTATTATTAGTATATCACTATCACGTAAAATTGTGTATATTGTCTCCGTTAAAATTGTATACATTGTCTCTATTATATTTCTTAAACATAAGAAATTAATCGAAATTACTATCCGTTGTTAGAACTAAAAATTGAAACAGAAAGTCGAAACGGTGCGAGAAGCAATGTAAATTATCTCGGTGTTAAAGTTGGACGATAATTCGGGTAATTTCGAAGCCAAATGTAACTTAACTGGACAAGCATAACACGTTTATTGTTAAACGTTTCCGTCGCGAAGCGAACGACGTGAAGCCTTGTAACTAGTTGGATACTTTTACTGCAAGCCGTCTAAAGTCGAACAAACAGCTGCCGTTGCCATCCACACGTCAATCCTTCACCTTCCATCTTCATACCGCCCTCTGCCCGTTCGCTCGCTTGATGCGGCAACTCACTTAATGAGTTTCTCGGGATATTCGATGCGGAATGCGGGCTCTATTTAAACTTGTTCGGCTTTCGTAACGTCCTGCTCTCGGATTCTTGCAAGGACGCTACGTTGCTACGCCAAAAGATCGGTAACAATATCTCGTTCCTCTGTAAGTATCTACTTAACTCTCTCGACTCTTTCGTAACTCGTATCGTTAAATTTACTTAACTTCTCAGTCGCGTTACACAAAACTTTGACATTAATATGTCAAATTTTAACATGTGGAAGGAAAGAAAACTGTAAAAATATAGTTTAACACACTAATTAACTTCAATTAAACAACTTGAATTAAGAATTTCTAACGCAAACTTTAACTCTAGGAAAAATTTAAAAAGAGTGAAGAAAGAAAAACAGATAGAGGTGATTATGATCGAAAGTAAAAAGAATATTGCTTTATTTCTTTTCTTTTGTTCTTTTCTTAAATTTAGGAAAGCGAAAGACAAACTTTGTTTGAAAACCCCCTCTCTCCAATGAATTTTCTTATCTCGGAGTGACGAGTTGAAGGATCGAGCTCTCAGAAACTATGATTTCGTGTTTGCGAGTAAATGTTCGCGATCCTCTTTTGTAATGCGCGCTGAACATCGAAGGAAAGGAAAGGAAACAGAAAGTTTGCGTGGACACTTATGCTAGTGAATGGAATAGAAATCGGGGAAATCTTCTCTTGTTGCGCGTGAGGAAGTTATTTTCGAATGGATTAGATAAAATAATATCTTTCGATTGCATTACGTGGAGAGTTTATAACGTTCCACAAGATAATCCGTGTTTTGTACAAAAAAATCAATATAATTATAACGAAAGTGTTTTAGACAAGATCCACATATTTTTCCCAGTAATTTCCAGAGAAATCTATAACTTACAGCAACTAGATAGCTCTCGTAATTCATATGATATACGTGAAACGTGATATTTTTCATTGCAATATTTATACGATACAGTTTTACTTTTCTGTATGTAATAATGTTGACGATACTCAAACTTTTATATTATACGATGATGTTGGATATTTATTTATTCATGCATGGTAAACACGAACGCACATAATTACGCTATTGGATAAAATCCATTTTAGCCGATTTATAATTTGTGCCAGATTTAAATAAATTTACTTTTTTATATCATGTAATATTTATGTGGATTTTAATATATATTTTATATATGCATTTTGTCTTTTCGAATGTTTTCGTGTTACACGATGCATAAAATTATAAATAGAATTCCGATACGACGTATATAAAATACATAGCGAATTCAAATATGATTATTTTTTTAATGAGAAATCGATAGTTATTAGAGAAATCTGTGTATTATTTAGTATATTTATTGATAGGCTATTACATCTCTTGATGTATTTTTAATTCTATTTTACTATTTTTTTTAAGAGTGAGAGTCCAAAATAAACGTGATAGACTTACAGTAAAAGACTTTATATTGCATATGAAGTTTACTGTCTCTTAAATTAGCTTATATTAGCTATCTCATATTTGACATTTGTTTTTGTAAACTCCCTCGATTAATCTCGTACAATAATATGCACCCTCACGGACACTGGACGCGGGTCTTAGTCCATCAATCCCGTTAAATGACGGCCTTCGGTACATGGGAGAGCACAACGGATGCTGTCCAATATCCGCGGGTCTTGCGTGAGATCCCTCGATCCTTGCGGCACGTGCACTAACCGACGACTTAATGGAACCTGGACCATACGGCGCCGCCATGTGCCGTCTATAATTTCTATGCGTTCTCATATGTCGATGTTATATCCCCGTGTAATACATATCGTATAATTATACGGGATCCATAGCTATATTTACCTATGGCTAGAGAACTATACAGCAGAAATAGGTATATAACAGTAATTAATATGAAACAGATTCATATTTTTAGATAGCGACATATAATTTTTCCTAAGGAATCGTGAAAAGCGAAGGTTTTTATTATTGAAAATAATAGAGAAATTTTTCATTTTTCACATTTCTGTCTTAGAGAAAAAGTTACATGATCGCCATTCTGATGAGAGAAATTCTTGTCTGAACAGAGAAAGATTTCAATACTTCTTTGATCAGAGACGAATAGAAAAAAAGATTTTTGTTTAATTTTGACTTTCTTTAATATGGTTAATTTTAATATCATATGAAGGGATACTTAACGTCAAAAAACGTAAAAAATTATTTATCGATTGCTTAATGATTTCTTCGTCGATATCCCAGTGGTGAGAGATATCGAAACTTGCCGAAGTGTAGGTCACAAGCGCAGGGTTGTGAAAGAAGTATGACGACGATGAAAAAGTTAGAGGCCTTCGGGCTTGCCGGAGCTCGTAAAAACGCGGAAACGTTCAAAGGAGGCCACGTACGTGCTCTTCAAGATGGTAATATACCTCTTCGCAGTCTTCCACGAAACTCGCGTACATTTCGGTTACTCGGTACTCTCGGAAGCACACCGGGGTGACGGTGCGGAAGTATGAAGTGCCGTCCTTAAGCCATCTATTACGGTTACTATCGCGGAAGTTTATCGCTGCAGTCTCGTATCTGCTGCAATTTGTTACGCATACGTTCGCTTAATATTTGGGATATGGCCACGAGTGATTTCTTCATTTCCTTTTAAATAAGGTTGAATAATGCGAAATACACATATTAAAATTAAATACAGCGAAATTAAATTCTTCTCATTATTTTTTTGTTAATTTAAATTGAGTTTTGATATTATTATGTATATATTAAAATAATAATACTGTCTTACTGCATTTTAATATTTTTGTTTGATCTATTTATAGTCAGCCTTTTTATTATCTGTTATTACTTAAAAGAATAAGTAATTTTTCAAATTTTATTCCCTTAAATTGTGCATCAAATACGTTAAAATGAATGAAGCTAAAAATACTTGTTCTAAAAATTATTAAAAAATGCATATGTCGTGTAAGGATTGGTTCGACAGAGTTAAATTGATATAAAAAGAGGAGGATTATGACATAAAAGAACGATGTATTCGTGTTGCTCGCGTTCTGTCATTGACTGTTATCTCAAGCCACGGAAAATTCGATTCTGTCGTGAAGCGCGCGGGTGAGTTTATGAGGCTAACAAACCGGCAGATATCGAATTATGGCAAGAAGGAAGGAACAAGGAGGATAGAAAAGATCTTCGATAGGATCTACGGGTAAAATTGGTTTACACCAGTGATAAACGTATTTCGTTGCCATCTACCATTGCTGACGACAGAGCGCGACTGTATTCAGCAATAAATTTATGATATAGAACATCTTTTCGAGAGACTGTATTATGGAAAAGTAGCAGCACATATTTACCTTCACAGAAAATGTGAAAAATTCCTTTTATATTTCTTAAACTATTTTATATTCTTTTTATGTTTTACTTTTAGTTAAAAATTGTAGATTTTTAACTATTTAAATTTTAATCAAATTTGATTTCTAACAGAAATTTAACTTTTATTGTTAAAGTACTTTATTTGTTAAAATTGATAACACATTAGCGCAACGAGAATAAATTAAATAAATAAATTGCGCACATTAAGATAAATTTAATTTTAAATTTTTACGATATATTATTAAAATATTTAATCTTATATTAGGTAAAGAAAAAAAACAATAAAAGATTTCTGTCAAATTTTTCATTGAAAGTTATAATGAATATAGAATTTATTTGTTAAAATAGTTAAATATTTAATTTCGAAAATTGAGAAGAAGAGAAAGATTTATCTGAAACTTTTATTTCATCAAATTCGTGTCCGAAATGATCATTTATGTAAGCGAATATAATACTAGATATATCGTACTTCAATTTTGCTTATTCTCTGCTTCTCTGACTGTTCGAATCAATGGTGAAGCACCTTAATTGTCTGACGTTGCTAACGAACGAATGTGGTGTAGAATGTTCGGGACACGAGACGGCTTGAAAAGTAGGGGAAAAAGCAATCAGCGAAAATTTCACGAACGGAATTTTTGCTTTTTTTGGAGCCCGGCCTAGCCGTGACTCTCATGGGATTTTTCCGAGATAATTGTTTTGTATACAACGCGTTCTACTTCACAACCACTTCTCGTGTTCAAATTGATTGCGTGCAGCAAAATAATAAATTCTACTTGCTAATTGCGACAATCAAGTGTCTTTAAATCATATAGGTATGGTCGGAGCACATTAATTCCAAGCCGGACATTACATATTGTAATTGAAACAATAAAATGTAGATAGGTAATTTTTTTATTATTATTCATTTTGAAAATGTTTAAATTCGAAGAATTTTTTATTATTTTTCTGTTATGTAGATTATAATTAATTAATATAAGTGCAGAGATAAAATACGATAATTAACGGATAATAGTAAAGTAATTTGAATTACATATAATTAATTAATATAAGTGCAGAGATAAATATGATAATTAGCAGATAATAATTAGCAGTAATAATTGATGAATGTTTTGCATCATTCGTCGTATTGCAATCTAATTATTATTATTACCATACGAATATATATAACATGATATAATTAGTGTAATTGACAGGTACTTTGTAACAAATATTAAGACAATATGATAAAAATTCCGGCAAGGAAATAATTGTTTATACCAGAAATCTCTGAAGGAATAATTACATGGTTTTCAGGACACGGTGTACGTGAATTCATTATTGTAGGTACCACAGCATTTGTAAAGTCTGGCAAGTAGTACGTATTGCGATGCGTCAGGCGTGCACAGCACTGCGTCGGCAAATCCGCAGACTCTATTGATGTAAGCAAATATTGGAAACACGTCGGCTTTTGGTGCTAACGTCAAAAGCTAATGATACAAAGACAAACTAGTCACGCGCTAATCCGCTTCCGCTCCTCCCCTCTTCTTTCTCCATCTACCATCGAAAACCAGATTCAGTGGTAATTTACGTGGAGCCATAAGGCTCTCTGGATTTCGAAATCCGGATGCTATCCACGTTTCAGTCCTCCCTTTAGCTATAAGATAATCTCGGATACATTTGCGAAAAGCGGTCGTATATATACAGTGAACACTATCGAATCTAACGTTATAAATATTACATTTGACACCCGTTCTTGTACGGGGCATTATAGTTGTATTTATGTCAACACTTATATACAAGTAGGTACATTACATACGCAGGATTTTCCTTTTGCGCTTTAATCTTTTTTGGCTTTTCACTGAAATCAATTTAAGCGAGATTTTGAACTATATCTGTCCTTCTTCTTAATACAATAAATATGTAACACAACATGATTTTAGAAAAAGTACTCGTTTAAATTAAAAATGCCCGGTCAAATCTTTTTTTATACTTTTCTTTTCACATATATAATTTGACAAACTGTTATGTTCATCCATTTTTATCGAAACAGGGAAAACGACAAGCATTGCTTTTCCTGTTGCATCGATATGCTTTTCTAAATCCTTCACAATTTTTCCATTTATTTTGCTCTGTTCTTTGCCTTTCATCTTCAATCTTTACTATTCAGCGTCTATAAAAGGAAGCTCTTACAATGCAATATTCTGCTTGTTTGTTCGCGAATCTCTTTTAATGGAATTTGTTATTGCCTACCTTATTGGAAATGCTTTACTTTCAGAAATAGTGCATCGAAACCTTATTTTCACTTTCTATTATATTACGCGCGCATCGCATTGAAAATTTGTATTTGCGTTTTCCCATTACTCATGGCATTTCTAACAAGACAGTTTCATATATCCTTTACACATACACATGCGTAAATCCTCTTCAATCCTTTTCTAGAAATTCTATTTGCATAAACACAATCTCTTAATTAAAACTTGATTACAATAACTAATACAAACTTATAATTTATTGTTGTTCATCAAACGTGTTCATCTTTTCCAACATCAAGATCCTAAAAGTTCTATCCTAAGATCCTAAGAATTTCTGAGAAAAAGATATTTCAAATACAAATTAAATTTTCAATTTGACTTTCTCTCGGTTGAATGAACGAGTGATTACTATCGTCTTTTCCTGTAAAGTCCTATAAATCGTAATGCGACCTGCGGCTTCGAGTACGACGAGCAAGCGATTATCCGAAAAGCCGAGAAGAAAACCAAGTGGCGAAGGGTCGCCCATGACGGAAGAAATTCTCGGAGATCCCTCTCGAAGGCGATGCCACCACGGTAACCCACTTTACCAGTCGCCCCGTGCTACCTACACGTCCTCCTCGTTTTCTTCTCGTTCTTCGAATTCTTCTGTGTTTGTTTGCGCCGACGTGTATACGCGACGTGTACGAAACACGTCGCGCACAGGAAGCACGCGCGCTACACTCGCAACGTTACACGAGAACTCGTTGGAGCGAGAGATATTCGAGGTAGCCAATTTATTTTCCCGGTTGATTCTTCAAAGAACCTTCTTCGCTTGGTATGTCGTCACTCTTCAGGACGACGAAGTCCTGACGCATCTCCGCCTTAAAGGCATCTCTCGTATAGCAGTGTAGTTTTCTCTTTCTTTTCTTTCGATAAGAATTGAATCCTTCTATCGAAAACACCGGTATTCGATTAAGACAATATGGCTCTGGAAAAAATATCAGATTCTTTTTGATAGGTACGAGGTAATTATGATATATTTACTTCAATTGTTATATCTCTTGTAACTTGTCCAAAGTATAAAGTATAATAAATACGCATTACTTTTTTTGGAAGTAAATTTCTTAATTTGAATTATCTGATAAAACTATAGTATTTTACACACACACACACACACACACACACACACACACACACACATACACACAAATATATAATTTTCTATCGGTAATATGAGAAGGCACGTCAAATGTTGTCAAATGAAAACTATGAACTGTGTCTTATAGGGTTCCGATATATACGCCACACCTATCAAAAACTTATTATTTATTATGTTTAAAGTAAACGAATTATATCAGGAAAAACTTTGTACTCTCTACTATTATGAAAAAATATTGGAAATCCGAAATATTTATATTTCGTATTAAAAAATGAACTTTTTTAAATCCTTGTATTTTTGCCGTATATCTCATAGGGATATCCCATAGGGGTGGGATATATGGCTACTCATAGGGGGAGGGGGAATGTACGGCTCATGAAAAATTTATAAATGATGCATATAAATAAGTCGTAAAATGACACAATAACTTATAAAATGCGTTTATAAAGTTTTATTAAGGAATAAGAAAATGATAAATATATATATGAAGTAATAAATAATAATTACAATTTTCCCACATGTATTACAAGTGTTACATCAGGTATATATTTCATGTAATGCGTTTATTGCATTTAGTGCTGAATTCAATCTGCCCACTTTATATACTTTGGGCATAAATCCCGCTCGCTAAAAATGCCGTATATCCAAACAGATAGCATATACAAGACAACAAACTAAACAAAGAATACAAGAGCAAAGTACTTGTATTTTGTTATACAACATGCTTTACTATTCCTCTATACTCATGTATTACGAAATAATCACTCTTTTGCACGTCCTACAGTAATCATTTTATGTAGATTATAATTTATGCTCCTCGACACAGTAACAAATATCGGTTC